TAATAGAAACATTGCACAGGGGAGCTAATCACCTCTTTTATCCCCCACTTCAGGCTCACGTGTAAGTTTATAGTAAAAGCCTTTTCAAATGACTGCTTTAACTGCTGCTACGGCATGTATCATCAGTTGAATGGAACCTCACATGTGACTTTAACCAAGCCTTTTTTGAGACACAAGATTCAATACGAGGGACAGTATTCTAATGTAGTACATCGTTTATTTTATGTTATGAAGATCATCAGTTATTGAAAATGTGTAAATAATGAAGCCCAGTCTTACTCTTCAATGCTGTGTGTGTAAATCCACTGAGCGTGCTGACCCCCATGGCTGCACCCACCTGCTAACACAGGGAGGGTCCATCCAGAAGGAAGGCACAGCTCCAGCACTGACGCTCTCCCACCAGCTTCACAAGAGAGTTGCCATAAGGATGACAGATACCCGGATAACCACCAAGTGATAATTTGAGTACTTAATGGTCATGATCCCTAAAGTGTGTAGCTCAGAGGGCTTGTGGTGATAACTCCATCCAAGACTCTAAAGCATCTCCCCAATTCTTACTGGACTTGAGCCATGTCTTGAGGAGAGACCCAGCTATGACACACAGGCACCACACTGTCCTACTTAATGCCTCCCTTAGTGTTTCAGATCCTGTGATTTGATCAGAAACATGGGCTTTCTATGTTGGTTTCACACTAAGGACTATGTGAAACCTGCAGGGAGATGCCTACATAGCTACCTGGATTCTGAGATCACTGAGGCTCTCTTATGTGAGGGATGGCATTTGAGATCTCTGCAGGCTTGGGTAATACCAGGCATAGAGGGTGCTGGAAATCTCTTGCATGGTGAATAGTGATCCCTTCACTGGTTGATAAATAGAGACTGTAGTTCAGGCCTTCAACACTGGGACCATATGAGTAAACATCTTGACTCCTCACTGCGTAGCAAGTGAGCCAGGGCACATTTATTTCTGTGGCTTAGTTTCTCCATCTGGCATGGGGGTTCAATAAACAAGCTCACAACATATGTTCATGAGGAGGTTTGAACTAATGTAAGTAAAGTATGTGGTCTGATTTGTTACATTAAGAAAAATGGCACTGAGCGTTGTGCTGGGCAAACACATTTTTTTCCTGGGGGAAACACACACAGACACACAGTCACAAGCGAATCATGCAGACTTGCACATAGACCACCCCCACCCCACTGCATAATACACACCCGCACACACAACCTAATATGAACACCACCTAATGTGAACACACTCCCAGGAACTATACATAGATAAAAGAGTTTGTCACCTGGAAAACCAGTTTCTATACCCCACATCCTCATTCCCACCAGGTGTCTTGGATCATGGAGGCTCTCCAGGCAAAAGCCAGCAGTTAGGCTCCACATTTCCTATAGAGTTTTTTTCTAACAGCCAGTGGTATGTATTCCAGAATACGTACCATCAAGGGTGCTCAATGAAGACACCTGTAATTAGAGAAGGAAACACTCTGAGAATCAGGCCATGCTATGGATGGTTCGTACAGGTCTTTTTTTCACTTGGAAACTGAGTAACGAAGGTGGGAAAGGATGTTCAAGTCAAAAGTCTCAACTCTAGAGTAGACTTCCCGTAAGAAAGCACAGGGGCTTTTCCTGAAGAATGCTTCTGTCTAGATAATTTTTGGGTGGCAATTACAGAATTCTTATCTAAAGTGGAAAACTTGTTCCTGAAGAAAATATCCCTTAACACACCCTGTACTGTCTGACACTGCCAACTGTGGTCGTCCTCTGGAATCAGGAGTCAGTTGGTAAGATACACCTCCTCCATTCCCAAGGAAATATTATCTAACATCTATAATGTACTGGTTAATTTTCCCATAGCTGATATCAACTGAAAAATAAAGAAACCAAGAAAACAACATTTACATCTTAGGCAAAGACAGGCTACTTTACCGTCGAAGTAGAGTAGAGCTCCCTTTTCAAACACTTTTTGGAAGGCTTCTTCGAGTCACCTAGGGGAAGTGGAAGGACACAGCATGGCTGTCAGTTCATTGGTGGTGCTATTCATGAATGACTAAAGGACTAGAACTTAGGGGTGTGCCTGGTTAACAAGCATGGATTGAGCTTCTCCTGGACCATCCTCTTCATGGACCAAGGAAGGCAAAGAGCGAGCAGGAAGGAAATGAGAATGGAGCCCCTGGCTTTCCAGGTAATGGCAAATGAAAGCAACGTGAAATAATCAAACTCCAAATGAACAAATACTAAAATACATGCTAGGATTCAACCACAGTGTCCTGTCACTTCTTCAGACCCTTTAAAAACCCAGCAGGACTGCCACTACCTTCTTGACATCTACCAAGTCTCTTTCAACCTCCACAGACCCACGTACAGTGCTGCTGCTTTTATCATGGAGGGTATAGGGTTCTGCTCTTGTTTATGTGTGAATTTTTTTTTTTTTTTTAACAGAGTCTCGCTCTGTCGCCCAGGCTGCCATATGTCTGTGGTGATGGCAGAATGATTCGATGTAGGTGAAGTGTACAGTATAAGTGCTCATGAAGCTTAATTATCAGTGAAATGTCTTGCTGTAAATTTCACAGCTGATAAGTTTAATAAGCTTAATCAGAGGCTTATTCAAGCCCAGGATTCTGAACTCCCAAGTCATTGGTTCTATGAAATACACCTGCTTGGCCTAAAACCAACCACTTTATCATAATTCAGACCCAGTTTTGAACGAAGCAGATGAAGTCAAAAGTGCTGTGTCTGCCTGAGCGCACACTCAGTGCCCTCCACACAAAGGGCACCACTGTCTGTCACAATGGCCCAGTGGCCTGGCTGGCACAGACTGTGGCAAAGGGCAAGAGATCACTAATCCCATCACCATGGCGATAGGGCATCATAAACTTTCCAGGGTGAAGGCACAATCCACCTTGTGAGGTCCAGCTGCTGCCATGCAGACACTTGTGCTTTTACATGCACAGGAAGGTCACTGAAGATAAGTGTTTTACATCCATGGTCAACAGATGAGATGACTATGAAATGAACACCAGTGTACTGGGTGGAGCAGCTTATCTATTCAGTCTTCTGCACTAAAACCTGTGAAACGATATCATCTTGCCTTATTTACTAACACATACAAGTGCCTCTAAATTTAGACAGTTTCCAGGTCATGGAACTGATGAGCACTGAGCTCCTGCATAGACTGGGTCTGGATGATGGGTCGGGAGAACTCGGGCACACAGTCCATCCAAACAGCATTAACAAGTCGGCAGGTTTTCAAAGCTCTCTACGTGCAAACTCACACAATCATCCCTTTAATTTTTATCTTCATGTATACGTACATGATCTACTTGTTTCTGAGTATAAATAAAACTGTATGTTCTTAGTTAACAGTCTCTACCAATTCATTCTGTTTATCTTTCTGTGTTAAAATAGTGCATTTCATTGAGTAACAACAACAACAACAAAAATTTGACTAAGATTACTCTGGAAAGGTGAGTGGTTGGGTGACTGACTATAATTGACAATTCTATGATTTTGGATAACTCCCAAAGCATAAAAAATAAATGTTTTATTTCACACATAGATAATACACATTCTTATTTCTTTTTAAAAAAGTAATATGTTAATGGAAATGACATACTACAAATTTATTAAACTAAATGCACATTTCACAAAAAAAGAAGAAAAAATACGTTAAAAACAAAGATAGGTACATTTTATTGTGTGAAAAGCCTCAAACCCATCCGTACTACTGTGGCTTTGCTCCAAACTTTTTGAAAGTAATGATTTCGTAGGTTCTTAATTAGGTTAAAAACTACATTAAAATAGACTTTGCCATATTCTCTCCAAGGGAATAACTTAATTTGGACGCGGGGGAACGCTGAAGGGTGCAGCATGTAAAAGGAAATAATATATATATTTTAGGCCGGGTGCAGTGACTTAAGCCCATAATCCCAGCACTTTGGGAGGCTGAGGTGGGCGGATCACGAGGTCAGGAGATCGAGACCAACCTGGCTAACATGGTGAAACCCCGTCTCTACTAAAAAAATACAAAAAATTAGCCAGGCGTGGTGGCGGGCGCCTGTAGTCCCAGCTACTCAGGAGGCTGAGGCAGGAGAATGGCGGGAACCCGGGAGGTGGAGCTTGCAGTGAGCCGAGATCATGCCACTGTGCTCCAGCCTGGGCGACAGAGGGAGGCTCTGTCTCAAAAAAAAAAAAAAAAAAAAACATATATATATATACACACACACACACACACACACATATATATATACTTTAAATGCAGAAAAATTTCAAAGGTACCCTGCTTGATACAAGAATCAAATATATATATTGAGGAATAAAACATAACCATGAAACATGTTTATAACTGCATATGGAAAATACAGAGGTTAATTTTTTAAATAACATAGTTTGAAAATATTAACTAGTAATTTGAAAAGACAGCATTTGACAGGTCAATATGAACATACCTCGAATGCAGGAACACAGGTTCCCCGTAAGAAAAACCTTGAGCGTACAAAGTCAGATCTGGATGGCTGCAAATACACCAGAAAATTGCTAAGTTTCAAACATTACCTCTACAGTCCTCTCTCTGTTTTGGTTGGGTCCATAGGAGGTTCTGTGAGCAAGATTTTACAGTTTCTGGTATCTATATTAAGTTTCTCTGGTCCAAACGTGTAGTCCCACAGGTGTTTCATGTCATCCCAATTTCGTACTATGCCATTTCCCACAGGGTAGTTAACTTCTAACATTTATCGTAATTCGCTTACCTCATCACCAACCGTAAGATCCTTGTTCAATGTTTCCCACTTTGGTGGTTGATCTGGTAACAGGTCTTCCAACCAAAGCTGGGATGATGTGTTCTAGAAAGTTAGAGCCTGCATATCCACACTTCACAAACCCGGCGCTGTTGCCGCACACCACCCCCTTCCCGTCCTGGCTGTCCATGCTCCGCCAGCGGGAAAGCCGCTGCCGCTGCACAACCTACAGCCGCCGCCGCCGCTCCACCGTTTTCTCTTCTTCCTCCTCCCTCTCCATCTTTGCTTTCAAATAAGTGTCTTAATTCGTCCTCCTATGGAAAAAGTTTAAATCAGTTTATTATAAATATATCTAAACCATTAATTTTTGCAGCTTTCAGGTAAAGTCCAGCACTTCATTTATACAAAGTCTACGAGGTCATAGAGATCTAATCTTAAATCGAGATATCCATTCAAGTCTTTGGCACAATCCCTCGCCAGTTAGAGCACATCATTCCTGGATATGCCACTGGTGTTCCTTAACAGAACGTAGCTTCAAAAACTGGGCGATTTCTGCTACAGTCATCATTCTTTAACATCTTGTTTATTAGCAAATCTCAGCAATCCAGCTTTTCTTAGGTCTTCATGCGCTAACATTTTAGAGTTCTTCTCTAGTTGCAGAAATCCTCTATCTGTACTATCCACAACAACTATTACAAACTCTGTGTTAGTATAGTACGTGTTTCAGGAACAACAAAAAGATTCTTGGCCACCAATATCCCACATTAGGAAACGTGTATTATTAATCGCTAACTCTTCTACATGACTTTCTCTTATAGATGTATGTACAACTTCATTCATAGAAAATTGGTAAAGAATGGTAGTTTTCCCTGCATTATCCAGCCCAACAATGAAAACTTTGTGCTCCTGGTGATGGAATAGTCTCCATGTTCTGGTGAAGAAAATTCTCATTCTCGGGCACGGACCCCTGCTCTAGACACCCGGGCTTCCTGGCCTCCCCCGGCTCAGGCTGACGGGGAAGAGAGAGAGGCACTGAAGCCTCCATCTCTGCTGCTGCTCAGGCGCTGGCCGCGGGCCCGCTTCCAGGGAACCGGAGGGAGGCCGAAGCCCAGGTCGCCCTGCTGCGTGAGAAGTCCCGCCGCTGTCGCCTCGCCACTCGCCTGGCTCGCGGACATCGCAGCCAAGTTGTCTGCGACGAGCATCGCGGGCCAGCGTCCTCCCCCAGCTCCTCTCGGGCAGCTGCACCAAAGTAATTCTTTTCCAACACACAAGGTCCTTTGCTTACCCGACAGGACCAAATGAAATGAAAGCATGTTAAAACTAATCCACTATTCAAACATTACAAATGGAATTCACACATACAAAGTTGAATACATGCCACTCTATACATAACGATGCAATTTTCAACATAGTTTTCTGATAAAATGTCAAGCGTCCTACATAATTTAAAAAACTATCAAGATTTCTCTTTTCATCAATGAATCTGGCCTATTAAAATAATGCAATAAACATAACAGACCACGTGATAGTTTTCCAACATCTATCTATAAAGTTTGTATAAGATTAAATCTCACAAGAAGTAAATATAAATAAAATAAGAGGTGATTTAAAAATCAAAACACAGATCATATAAGGGCTTGTGTGAAACTTACAAATGCTTCAACGAAGATTTATAGTTTGAGAATTTTAAACTGTTCACATGGTATGCTGTGGAAACAGCATATACTGTTAGAAATGTGACAATGAATAAAATGATCGGGTAATATAAATGAAAAATGGCCTCGAACCGGTGGTAGTAAGTAACCAATGTGGAAAACTGGATGGAGAATTAACTCCATCCAGGGGCAGGGGGCCCAGGGGAGAGACAGAGACAGACAGAAAAATGACAGACATAAATCAAACAGAATAGAGAACTCAGAAATAAATTCAAGCATTTACAGTCAACTCATTTTTAACCTAGGCATCAAGAACACACCTTCCAGAAGGGCAATCTCTTCAATAAACTATGCTAGGAAATACCCAACACCCACATGTAGAATAAATCTAGACAACTATCATAAACAAAAATCAACTCAAAATAAAGATTTAAATGTAGGACCTGAAATTGACACTATCAGAGAAGAAAACATAGGATAAATGCTTAATGAAATTGGTTAGGACAAGGAGTTTTCAAATAGACATCAAAAGTACAAGCAACAAAAGCAAAAATAGACAAATATAATTACATTAAACTTAAAAGCTTCTGCAAAGTAGCGGAAGCAATCAGTAAAATGAAGAAACAATCCAGATAACGGTAGAAAGTATTTGCAAACTATACATCAGACAAGCGGTTAATACACAAAATACAGAAAAACTTCTCAAATGCAAAAATACAAATAATCTAATTTAAAAATCAGAAAAAGATCTACCCAAAACCTTTGTCTCCGCCATCATTATTTCCCCAACTTGTTTTCCCAACTGCCTTCGGCCTCCTCCCTCTCGCCACCCTTTTTTCTTTCTCCATCTACCCCCCAAAACTTTTTCCCCACCATTTTTCCCACACCATCCCTTTGCAAAGCCCTCTCTACTTCCCTGCTCACCACCCTTTTCCCCACCAGCGCTCTCATCCCCGTTTTGCTCCTCCATCTACCCAAAACCATTTCCTCTCGTTTTTCCCAAAGCCTTCTTCCCACTCCTGCGGCTCACCACCTTCTTTTCCCCATCTACCCAAAACCTTATTTTCCCCCCATCTTTTCCCCACCCTCTGTCTGCAACCCCTTCTCCTGCTCGCCATCCTTTTTTCCATTTGGCACTCACCACCCTCTTCACCCCTCCACCTACCCCAAAACTATTTTTTCCCCTCCTACCACTTCAGCTGCTGCTGCTGTCTCCATGGCCGCCACCAACCGAGGCGAGGAGAGGTGGGATGTCACAGGCCCCAGCCTCCAACGCAGGGCACTTAGCTCTCCCATCTCGTCCTCTAGCCGGACAGGAATAGTTCCCGCCGCTGGTGGCCCTCCTACCACTCCCCAGTACTGACTCCAGCCTCCAGCGTGCAGTTAAGTGGCTTCCTAACCCACCACGCACCGACCAAGCAGACACACACGCAGAAAATCCTGTTGTGACCTGACTGCCCACTGCAGCATGCTTTATATACTCAGGTTAGGCAATTGGGGGCGAGGGGGAGGTTCCTGGACTACATGTTCTGATTGGATGAGAGAAAACCTCTAGGCCTATTCTGATTGGACTTTATTTTCATGCTCTGATTGGTTGTTCTAATACTGGCTCTCATCCAATCAGAACATCATAATAAAGTCCAATCAGAGTAGGCCTACAGGTTTCTGTCATCCAATCAGAACATGTAGTCCAGGAACCGCATTGCCTAACCTCAGTATATAAAGCATGTTGAGGCCAGCAGTCAGGCCATTCTAGGGTTGTCTGCGTATACATGTGGAGGTGTTACGTGCTACCTTAGGAAGCTACCTACTACACGTTGGAGGCTGGAGCCCGTGGTACTGTGGCTTTCCTCTGGCTTCGCCTCAGACCGAGACCCCAGGGCCGCGGAAACAGTAGGAGGGCCACCAGCAGCGGGAGCTGCTCCTGTCCGGCTAGAGGACGAGGAGATGGGAGAGCTACATGCCTCATGTTGGAGGCTGGGGCCTGTGACAGCGCACCTCGCCTTGCTGCGGTTGGTGGCGGCCACGGAGAGGGCAGCTCAGCTGAAGTGGTAGGAGGGGAGAAAATAGTTTTGGGGTAGTTGGAGGGGTAAAGAAAGTGGTGAGTGCTGAAGGGAAATAAAGGATGGCAAGGAGGAGAAGGCGTTGCAGACAGACTGTGGGAAAAGATGGTGGGAAAATAAGTATTTGGGTAGATGGAGGGGGGAAAAGAGAGTGGTGAGCAGCAGGAGTGGGGAGAAGGCTTTGGGAAAAGATGGGGGAAAATGTTTTTGGGTGGATGCAGGAGCAAAAGAGGGTGATGAGTATGCGAGAGGGGAAAGAGGGTGGCCAGGGAGAGGAGAAGAGATGGTGGGAAAAAGGGTAGTGAGTGGGAGAGTAGAGAAGGGCTTTGTGAGAAGGTGGTGGGGGAAAAGTTTTAGGGTAGATGGAGAAAGAAGAGTGTTGACAGGGAGGGGGCCGAAGGGGCAGTCGGGAAAAGAAGGTGGGGAAAAAGGGTTCTCGGTAGATCTTTTTCTGATTTTTAAATTAGATTATTTGTATGTTTGCTTTTGAGTAGTCTTGCTTTCTGTATTTTGTGTATTAACTGCTTGCCTGATGCATAGTTTGGTAATACTTTCTTCCACTTTCTGGATTGTTTCTTCTACTGATTGCTGCTTCTGCTTTGCAGAAGCTTGTAAGTTTAATGTAATTATATTTGTCTATTTTTGCTTTTGTTGCTTGTACTTTTGATGTCTATTTGAAAATTCCTTGTCCTAACCATTTCATTAAGTATTTATCCTATGTTTTCTTCTCTAGTAGTGTCATAGTTTCAAGTCCTACATTTAAATCTTTATTTTGAGTTGATTTTTGTATACGATAAGATAACGGTCTAGATTTATTCTTCTACATGTGGGTGGTGGGTGTTTCCTAGCACAGTTTATTGAAGAGATTGTCCTTCCGGAAGGTGTATTCTTGATGCCTAGGTTAAAAATGAGGTGACTGTAAATGCGTGAAATTATTTCTGAGTTCTCTATTCTGTTTGATTTATGTCTGTCATTTGTCTGTCTCTGTCTCTCTCCTGCCCCCTTTTTTTGGCAGTGCCATGCTGTTTTGATATTATACTATAGAGTTGCAGTTACTATAGATTTATAGTATATTTTGTAGTATATTTTAAAATCAGGTAGTGTGATGCCTCCAGCTTTTCTTTTTATTCAAGATTTTTGAATAAAAAGTTGTTTCTCTTAGTATTGTATAAATATAGATCCACTGCCTCCTGTTTGCATACTTTTTTTTTTTTTTTTTTTTTTGAGATAGATAGCCTAACTCTGTCGCCCAGGCTGCAGTGCAGTGTCGCGATCTCGGCTCACTCCAAGCACTGCCTCCCGGGTTCACGCCATTCTCCTGCTTCAGCCTCTTGAGTAGCTGGGACTACAGGTGCTCGCCACCACACCGGCTAATATTTTCTATTTTTAGTAGAGATGGGGTTTCACTGTGTTAGCCCAGATGATCTCTATCTCCTGACCTCGTGATCCGCCCACCTGGGCCTTCCAAAGTG